TCAAGCTGCGCCAGGGGAGGTTTAGGTTGGATATTAGGAAACACTTCTTCACTGAAAGAGTAGGCAGGCACTGGCACAGGCTGCCCAGGGAGGTGGTTGAGTCCCCATCCCTGGAGGTATTTAAAAGACGAGTAGACGTGGTGGTCGAGGACATGGTTTAGTGGTTGACTTGGCAGTGATAGGTTAACGGTTGGACTCGATGATCTTAAGGGTCTTTTCCAACCTTAACGATTCTATGATTCATCGCTGGCTGTGCTGCTGTTTATTTACTGGGAAAGGTGAGAAGGACCTGTGTCCTAATCAGGACAGGCTCAGACCTCTGTCTAGAGACTTGTGGAGTAACTGAAGGTGTGTATGTTACACTGGTCTAAATCCCAGATCAATCCATTTTAAAACAATGCAGATCACGTGGGACCTGCTCTTTCTGAGCCTTGCTGAGTGACTATATACTTCTCAGCCATTGCTGGCAAACCTAAACCTTTTAACACAAAATTTTGTGTGGCAATGCAAATGCTAACTCTACTCATCTTGGGGCCTGCATGCGAGTGCTTTGGTACGAAGTGAGAAAAGCCCAGGTTCCTGTCCCTGCAGGATGTCCAGTAGCTCTGGTAGACCATGTGGCTGTGCTAATTGGTACAAAAACTCTCTGATGAGGTGACAGAGACATAAAACTGCTATATACTTGGCTAAATTGTGAATCCCGCTCTGCATTTGAGTTTGTGCGTCTGAACCCTTTTCCCTTTTAATAACCAGCTGGTGATTCTGTCCTTCCTGCAGTTCCTTCTGCCTGCTTCTTCTGCAGTTTTAATGCCAAATCGCACACATAGTCATTCCTGAAACGGAAGTCCCAAACACTTTGTCATGTCTGGGGAAAGCATGGCCGGGAGAGAGGAACTTCGTTAAAATGAGACAGCAGGAAATAACGAGTGCAACCTCTAAATGCCGCTGATGTTTCTTGTTTCCTTCAAACACTAGTGCACCACATGAAAATCTAACTGCTTTTGAGGTTCTAAACTGCTGAAACAGTGTTTTGCCCTACTCAGTGGTAATCCAGCTGTTGTGAAAATTGGCTTCCTGCTTTATAAAGTAAGTGGGTGTTTTCCTTTCAGGAAGAGTCATTTGCTTTTGAAGACCACTCCTGCAGATGCTGAACACCTGTCCCCAGTAGAACCAGTTATTTTATTATGGGTAAATAAAACCTGAGCTATAGTCCTGTAGCAGACAGCAATAGAGACAGAGTCTATGAATATAATACCTCAGGGGAGATGCTCCCACGGTTGGTATTCCGCAGCAGTTAAACAAGTTGCTTATCAGTTGCTTTAGGTGCCCATTGTTCCCTTTGACACTCCATAAGTAGCTGAGCTTTGTGTAGGCAGGTAATTGAGGAGTAATGAAATTTGTTTTAAACAAATTCATTTGTGCGATAGGAAGTCCCTTCTGGGGAGGTGGCAGGGGGGGGGGGGGGTTGTTAAGTCATAATGAAAATGCTGTTATTCTTCAGAAAAAAAAAATCTACCCTTCAAACAAGTCAGTACAAAAGAGCAGGAGTAAACAAAGTAGTGTTTTAAGTGCTAAAGTAAGAGTGCGCCCATGTGTGCATATGCACATACACACATGTGAAACTTGGAGATCCACCATGTAATTTAATTCACAAAGAAATATGTAGCCAGCATAGAAAGGAGTGCTTAACCTAATAGTAGGGAAGGAAAGACCTTTGTTTTGGTGCATCAAACTACAATGCAGATTGTCCCTTGCCTTTAACAGCAAGATGTCTTTGGCAATAGTCGTAATGAATAGGCTGAAGGAGCTGGAAATTTCTGCTCAATTCGTATTTACATACCACATACTGTTGGACTCCCAGAGAATGTCTTTCATTTCAGCAAAGCTGCTTGCAATGGAGGTAATCTACAATGATGATTTTAATAGCGTCTCTCTGCCTTTGGAATGGCCTTATTCAGCTTTGATGGGAAGTATGAGGCGCGCTGTATTGGTGTACGCGTGCACACACAATGCTGAGCTTTTTCTGTCTGTCTTGCAAACTGATCTTAGCCAGTAATATTTTCTTTTCTTCTTTTCTTATTTCCTTTCCTATGATGTGTTACCTTTCCTTTCCACTGTTCTCCCATCTTTTCCTCCCTGTCCTTCATACACCCTGCCTCCAACCTGGTATGCCATGCCCTCCTCCTGCTAGCTGGAAACCTTAGACTGCAGCAGATTGTAAATCCGGTTGATCCTCTGGAGATCCTGGCAGATGTGCACTGGACACACATCCGTGAAAAAGAGGAGGAGGAAAAAATGGTCCCAACCACAAAGTCCTCCACCTCCAGAGGTAATCTCCCCCAGGCCCCGCGCCGTCAGTTCCTGGATCACAGTTGCAACTGTTTAATTTTGTTGCTTCTGTGCCCTTCAAGAGCCGTGTACTTCAGCAGGGGCAGCAGTGATTGAAAGGAACTACTTTCAAATTACACAGAAATTACACTTGGTTAAACGTTTTGCTTTTCAGGTCAGTGTCTACTTAAAATGACCGCTTTCTCAGCTTTGTAGTGGTGTGACTTCTTCTGACCCGTTTGTCTCCCTGCTTTGACTCCAGAGCATTTTTCCTCACTACACACATGATTTGATAGTGCTGGCAATCAGCCCTCGGTAACTGACTTTAGGGATAGTAATAGAAGCTGTTATGTGTTTTTTGTGGCAGTGAGGACTCTGCGCCTCTTTAGGGAAAGCTGAAGGGCTATGTTGTGTAGCTACTACAGCAAAGATTGAACAGGGTCAGCTTCTGTATTAAGCATATTTCTCTGCTGCTGCTTTCCAAAGTGTGTAAGCAGGGAATGATGGGGCTCAAAGGGCTTGCAAATCTGATCAGTGGTGGTTTTGACTCCCTCTGTTTAAGATTTGACAGTATATCTGTTTTTTAAAGTGAGGTGTTACCTTTGTGAATTGCCAGTTACTTAAAGAAAAACTTGGGGGGGGGGAGAATGCCAATAGTCTAGCTGCCTTGTAAGCACCTTCCAGCAGTCCCTGCTGACTTTATTCTAGACTATATTACAGCATCTCTTAAGGTAAGTATGTCATAGGCGCTTTGCCTATGCAGAAGCCTAGTCTTAATAAATGTTAACCATGCAGTTGATGAGTAGTGGTCTTCTCTCAGAGTCTGTAACCATTATGCCAGAACTGTAGAGGGAGTAAGTATGCTGTGGGAAGGGGCATCTTTTACAGCAAACGTGAAATTAAGTTAATGACTGATCTCTATTAAAAAAGCCTAGGGCTTTACCTCATGTTGCCTGCTCGTATTCTGTTCCAGGTAATTATCTTTTCCTCATAGTTCTAGATGTTTGGTGTTTTTTTTTAATCCTAGTCCAACTTGATAGTCAGTTCCAGATCAGTTTGGCTATGCTTGTAGTTGCAGTTTGTAGAATGCATTGGGATTTTCTGGTGTGAAATCTGCTCCCCACAAATAAGAGATGAGAATTTCCTTCCCACTGCAACTACAGAAATAGGCTGTGTTCAACTGTCTGTAACATTCAGTATTGCTAGAGTAGTTGCTTAATGTTTAAAAACGCTAAGTAAAAATGTTAACAGGGTTTCTTAAGCTTATTACAATTAGGATTACTTTAGCTTCTGCTTGAGGATCTATATCAGTATAGTTCCCAAAGTTTTCTTTTAATTTGTAATTTAAAATTCCTACTTTTCCATAGCGTATTGGTACAGCTTCCAGCAAAAGATGATCCTTCCAAAAATTGATTTTGTGGTCTTTCCAACTTCCTTTGGGAAGGAATGCAGTATTTCCTTTCCCTAAAACTGGGGCAAACTAGGACAATCCTGATCAATAGATAAGCTGCTTCAATTACTTTGTCATACAGTACAGGTACATGCAGGCATATCCGCGGTTTGTTTTTTTTTAAAGGGCTGTTGCCAGTACGTACTTGTGGATATGCTGTAAGTTTTCAGCCCCAGTTCAATAGGCAAATTTGTTCCTGGCTGAGCTGTATTCTGTGACATGAGGTGTTTGGAGAGCCCATCAGTAGCAGCGGCGATAGGGTTTGATGTGAAAGCCTGGGGTAGCGTGACGGTGCACAGAAGCCCCTCTCATTATGCGTTGGGCGCTCTTCTTCGTCTGCTGGCGTTCGCACCCAAGCAGCGCAGGTTCGGGGACGCCTGTTACGACCGTCCCTCTCTTGTTGCTCAGCTCTTTCATCTCTTTGTTTCCCTCCTTTGCAGAGTTTCAAGTAGAGCACAGCAGCAGCAACCTGCTGGTCAGATGCAGTGTTTTTTCTCACTGTGCCATCCGTATTTCCTCTAACATTACAGATCTTAAAGGAAGATTAAGCTCCTGATATTTGTATGTTATCTCGATTTAAATCCCAAGCCTGGAATCAGTTATTTAACATCTCATAGGTTTTATTCCTGTATTTGCTACTGAAAAAATTTCCCTTTGTCACTCTTCTGTTTTAGACGCTTACTGATGGTCTAACTTTGATTTCTTACAATTTATTGTTTTTTAAATTCAGCATCCGACCTTCCCTCCGTACGCCATGAGGCGGTACAGGCGTGGCTGGAGACGGTCCCTGGAGGTAGTTTGGTGATGTTCTATGTATTCCAATGCACAATAACCCTGCCCGTCTCTTCTCCATGCCTTCAGCAGCTGAGCTGGTACTTTAACCCTGGAACTTACGGCCCTGTCGCTACTGCATGACTGGACATGGAGGGAGGGAGGAAGGGGGAGTGTGCATGCACGCCTTGCTCAGACAGTCCATTCTTGCATGAACTCGACATTTGTTGTAACCTTCCTGAAGACAGGCCAAACAGAGAGGTTATCTTGGGTGTAATAAAGTAGAAGGGAGAATCTAGTTGAGTGCTTCGGTTTGCTTTGCAAACTGAAGACTGGATCAGTTATTCTTTCCCTAGCTCCTTGACTAAAACAACATGGGGCTTTCTCGCAGTCAAAAGATTAAGTGACAGAGAGTGCTTAAAGCAATTGCAGTTCTCTGTAGCAACTGCAAACTCTAGTTATCTGGTGAAGAAAGCAAGAAAGAAGAATAAGGTTGAAGCTGGGATCTTTAGGAATAGTGGCGGCTGTTGTGTCTCCGTGACTTGGGGTTCATGTTCTTTAGGAAAGCCTCAGGCAAGTTGAAGGATGGTAGAGCTCAGCTGCTTTTTTTATGTGGTCCTCTAAGCTCTATTACAAAACCGATGAGGATGAAGATTCTGGGATTAGAGTAAGGGAGTAAATTTGTGTAAAGCGGTGAAGGTATCTAAATCAGTGGAACGGCAGTAGTTTGTGGCTAGGTAGTTGATCTACAGCTAAGTTGCTTTGGCACATCAGAATAGCTAGCTTGCCTATAAAACTTTGCTTCTGCTGCTGCTTTGACAAGGCAGCAGTGTTTACAAGATGTCTGCACACGATGCAGTCTGCTCACGGCTGCTAGCTGATATGAACCAAGTGCTGATCCCAGTTTCTGGCTGCCATAGCGTGTAGCTTCTGAGTTATTGTGTGACAGCTTTTGGCCTCTTGCTCCTTATCCTAACTGCATATACGTATATGCACATTATATGTATAATATAACCAGCCACCTGCGAGCTCTCCATGTCCCTCAAAATGGGATCCACCCTTGCACCAAGTTGTTACTTATCTATGCATCTGTAATCTTCTGTTGAGTTTTGTGTACCAACCTATCTAAGAATTGATTTTCTCCTCTCTCTCCAACGCTCCCTATGTGTGTCATGTCAGTTCAGGGTTTCTGGATCTGAAGACACACATATAAGTAGTGGTATCAGATATTCTTAACATCAGAGTTACATTTTTTGCAAGTTTTGATTAAGATTACTCACATTTGCTGCTGCCATAAAACCATCCCATGACATTATAATTTCCAAACTAACATAAGCTACTGCACACCTAAGCAACGATCAGACTGGGACACAGTTGGGTTTTGTTCAGTAGATTCATAAACGCCCCTGTGGGCAGTCCAGCCTTTGCCATGTGATTCAGTCTCCTGCGCTCGACATCTGTAAGATTCTGGATTTTATAAGCTTCTGACATAAGGGGATAGGCCAGTGCTTTATCACATGTAAGTGTAACTGCTTTTTCACAGTAGTTGACAGAAAATAAACTAGCCCATACGTTTGTCTGTCTTAATACTACAGAGGGGAAAAGCATGGGAAAAGAGAAATTCTCAGGTTGAAGGAAGAAGACAAACCACCCACTGAAGGCTATGTTTTGAAATAAGCAAAACCCTCTATTAGAGAAAGAGGAGAGGCTGCAAGACCTCAATTTTAGGGAGGGTTGGTTTGTTTTCAAGATTGTCTTAATTAGCAGTGCTAGCATATAAATGGTTCCAAAAGCCACATCGTCACTAGTAAACAAAAAAGATCAGGGCCTACTCCCTGACTCAGGAGAAAGCTGGCACAGCATGATTCACTCCCATATGGCTAAACTTTTTTGCCATCCAGAATCAGGGGGCTGCATCCAGACTGCCTATTGGAAACATCCTCTAGGCCTACCATGGGAGCTAACTGCTGGGAGTCACGCCAGGAGCCCTCCTAAAGATGACAGCATGGCACTGTGTGCATTCAGGTCTAGAGACTTGCACCGCTTAGTGTACTGGTATAGGTGCAACCAAGAAGGTTATAAATATATCTGTTATCATTGTTATAGGACCATATCCTGTGTGTATAATTAGCAGACGTTGTGCATAATAATACATGCTGACTGTGTACACATTTGCAGTGGGATATACAACAGAGTCAAATGTCTGCATGTTGTTGAACATGAATTGATGCTAACTCGCTGCACAAATCTGAAAATGTAGTTAGTTGACTGACTCTGCTGTGGAAAAAAATCTAGAAGTGCTTGTTTCTTTTTTATATTTAAATGATGTTTTATGAAAATGCTTAACAAAAAAAAAAAAATTAAGCAAATCATCCATAGCACTCAAGATGGGACAAGGTGTCATAAGGTTTAGGTTTTTTAAAAAAGTATCATTTAACAATGAAATTTAGAACCCACAGTTTGGTCTTGTCTCTCCTCCTGTAATTAAATCCTGTCACAAGTAGTAATGTCAAATGCCCTTTTCAGAGTTATAAATTCAAGAATCTTTTCTTTATGTTGACCCAGCAAATCAAATTATGATCTGTAACAGAAAAGAAAGTTTTGAATATATCTTTTTATTTACTTAAAAATATCTCAATTAATTTTTGTCCTAGTTACTTGTACAGCACATCAAGTCTCTTAGACACTTTTACCAAAGACTACTGTGGCTGCACAGAGTTAAACAGTTTCCAGATGTAGTAATGATCAATCCCAGAGCTAGACTTTGTCTCTGACTTACACCCTCAAAAGCCCGTTTCAATTTCAAGGTGAACAGTTGTGGTACATTGTGAGATTTCAGTTTTCACCTAATACACGTATGCTATAAAGTGGTGGTAACTGTTCTGGTGTGGTAAAGGAAAAAAAAAATCTTCCTGCAAGAACAGTAAACTTTATTCTGATTTGATGTCCTCCCGGTCCCCTTCTTGTTTAATTTTTCACAAGGCCTGTTGTTCAGAAAAGCCCTGACTGCTTTCACTGCAAATGCCTTGGAGACTCCCCAAGGGCAGGCATTCCTTGATTCGTTGGAGTCTGGAAGTGTCATTTCACCATAGACGTCTGTCTTGGTGACACATTTCAGGATTTCTTGTTTTGGCAGTAATTGATAAATACTCCACTATAAACTGTTGGTACAGTTCCATGTAGAACCTTTTCACTGTATAGTTTGGTTTTTTGGTTGTTGGTTTGTTTGGGTTTTTTTTCCCTCCTCAATATTTGAATATATTCTAGCTCCATGGGAGGACAATGATGTGGAGGACGAGCTGGGCACCGAGCCTGCAGACACAGAAGGGCAGGCAGGTGAAGAGGGAGACACGGGTGCAGAGCTGGATGACGGTAGAGTACCACTGTGCATCACCTTTTGTGTGAACAGAATTGTATTGGCAGAAAATACTTTGTATGAGGGTACTTAAACCTGATCTTATTTGTAGTGATGTAGGAGTTTGTTTCAAAATAGTCACGAGGGAGCCAGGAGTGAAGGACAAAAAGAAATAGAAGAACCTCAATGCCATGGGTTGTAGCATAAATTTCTCATGTCCTCTCACCATCTGATAACTAGAGGGCTTGGTCTTGTGTCCGTATTCAGTACTAATCCTGCTGAGTAGCAGAAACAGAAGTAAATTTGTGAAAAGTCCACAATATTATGCCAAAAATCTTCCCGTGCTAGTGTAAAATGAACTGCATATGCCAGAAAACATTCAAAATTTTCCAGAAAACTGGTAAGGTATGACTTCAATTACTAATTTAGTTATTTGTACTAATAGTCCATCATTTACTGCTCAAATGACTCTAATTAGCACACAAAAAAAAGGAGTGAAACGTTTAGGTGTTCAGGTTATGAAAATGATTAGCACCATGTGAATAGAAAGAAAGGATTATGAAAGATTTTTAAATAATAAACAGATGCCCTGATGGACTTGTATCCAAGATCTCTTGTTTTTTTCCCCCACCCCATCCGTGATCAGATGACATTCCATCTGATGCAGAAGCAGAGTTTCGCTTACATCAAGGTGGCTTAGAAGAGCCAGAACTAAAAGTTTCTGAAGATGAAGATGATGAAGAAGGAGCAGAAGGTGCTTCTTGCAGTGTGACAGAAGGTAATAGCTTTCCCATCAGTGTTTGAATGATTGTAATTGCATTTGAGATAGTCTATACATTTATTAGATTTAAGACAAGGCAGTCTCTTAGATTTGAACCATCTCACTACTCTCAGTGGCAAGGTATGTGCTTGTATTAACATTTTGAGAAGAACATTCTGAATCCATTAATTACAGCTTCCTAAAGCATGAGAACCCATCTAACTGCTTTTTCTTGTAGAAGTTTTTATGTTAAAAAGCTTGTACCATTTTGGGCATTTAAAAATTTTTCTCTATGTTCCAAATGTCCAATCTAGAATTTGTAAAAAAACTGTGAAATTTGTCACCACTTGCTGTGTGTAACATAAAAAAAAAAAAAAAAAGACTCTTAGGAGTCTCATGTGTTTTTGGAAACATTTTTGCTTTCCCTAGATCCATGCAAGCCATCCATCCCTATCCAGTCATCTAGTGACACTGTTCTTCCTCTGTCTCCGGTTGATAGTCCCAAAGCAAAACAAGCAGAGGTAAGAAAGGGCATCTTTGACATTTTCTACTTACTACCTGTAGTTCAATAGAACAGTTTGTTGGATAAACTAATGAGGACTGCAGCAGTGGGCTTTCCTCCCTTCTTGTCTCTATAATTTATGTTGATCTTCTTGAAGTCTGACTACATTTAGACTTAAAATGTCACGTACTATCTTTCTTTCCTATCTTCAGAGTGTAGTGGCTCTGTCACAGTCACACAAGTTCCCATCACAAAACCCCCAAAAGAATTATATAGGATATTTTAATTTCAATGTATAGTTAATAAGATATTTATAAAAAAATGCACGAGGGGAGCCGTAAGTAAGGTGTTTCCTGTTTATCCTGGTTCGGCTATCTTTTCTGTACCAAAACCAGATTCTGTACAGTTGCAATTCAAAATTATATTTCTCTTACTTAGTAGTAATCAAAGCGGTGCTTAGTTATTCCAGAGTAACAACATAGTTCAGCTTAAGGAAGCGAGACCTGTCCGTGATGTACTGTCATGTTTGTTGTCAGCCCTGGAGTCAGCGGGCAAGCATACTGTGGCGTTTCCAGCTACTGGTGTGTGAGAGCAGGAAGTACATGACCCTTCAAATGTTCAATTCAAATTTTTCCCTCCCAAGTGTTAGTTTTTAAGGAATTACTAAAAGATTAGACTTTATCCTAGAGAGTTTTGTCATAAACCAGTTTACTTACCAGGACACATTACGGAATAAAGCTGGTTTGCCGACAGCAATTGCTGCCAACATTCACTTTCTATTAAAATTAAGGGGCTTTTTTCAGGACCATCTAATGATTCTGTTAGACATAGTTATTTTTTATATCAGACGGTGCCTAAATGCAGTACTCAAGACCTTGGTGTTTAATATGTGTCATACAAGCACACAGATAGAGCGCTTCATGCCCTAACAGTCATGTGTCAGTTAAACCAAACTGTCTGCATGCAAAAGAAAGCTAGTGCAAAAGATGTCATTGGGAAGAATATTACCAGAACTCAGTAAGAGGAGTCCACTGCCAAAGGGTTAAATTGTAAACAACAAATTGTGCTACGGCAGTAATATGGCAGTCTGGATGTAGGACATGAAAACCAAGACTTCTCAGACCATTAAGGGCCAAGGGAATTGCAGCCTAATTTACTCATAACAGAGAAAGCACCCCTTGCTTTAAGAAAACATTGCAGCAGATGCTAGTGAGCAGAAAGTGCTGTATTGACTAGAGCTGGAGAGACTTGCATCAAATCTGTCTGAGATAAGGGACCACCACAATACACAGAGTTGGAGTTGAAAAAATAGAAATGGACTTCTGGAATTTAGTTTAGTGGTTTTTATTCCAAAAATTAAATTTGCCTTGTTGTCATCTACAAAGGACGGTTTATACAATGGGGCAGAAAAATGAACCACACCTGACAAGAAATCTTAAGTCATGTTCCAGGCCTGCGAATGGGATGCCACATGTGGGTTTTTTCATATTTTGATACTTGGATGGTTCACTTATTGCTAACGTTGTTAAAAGCAAAAAAAAAAATGGAGCAGTATTCTAATGTGCTCAGTGACTACTAATATTTCCCTTTTTCATTTTTTTGTAGAATGTAAAAGATCCCCTGGCTGAAGTATCCCGTGTGCTAAAATCTCCAGAGGCACGCTTTTTTCCTGAGCCTTTCATTCTTGAGGAAGGACCAAAAGATGAAATTCCCAAAGACAGGAAAGTTAAGAGCCCTTTGGTGCCACCATCTCCAGTGTTATCCCAGCCGGTTGCATCACCAGAAGCCATTGCACCTACATCACTAGCAGAGTCTCAGTCAGCAGCACCAACATTGGCTTCATCCCCAACATCGGCTCAAATGCCTATCTGTTCCCAGCCTTTGCCTTCTGCTGAAACATCCATTCCATCCCCAGTGGAGCCTCCAGTATGTTTCCAACCTGTCCCAGCCTTAACATCTACTCCTTTAGCCAAACTGGTCCTTAGGGGCCAGGATAGTGAGGTGGAAAAACTGGGGAGCCCTACTAATGCAGAAGAAGCCCTGAAACGGAGTAACCTTGTAGAAGAGTTCTGGATGAAGAGTGCTGAAATCCGGAGGAGCTTAGGGCTCACCCCAGTAGACAGAAACAAACGCTCAGAGACGAACTTCACTGTGTCTGCCCTTGAGACAACTCCTCTGAAGACTTTTAATAGTGAGAATATTTCAGGGGATGAAAGGATCCATCTTGTGAAACCCCAACCTGCCCCAAGAAGACAGGGACTGTCCAAGTTAGAAAACGAGCAGATTTCTCTGCTCACTCCAAAATCTCCATCAGAAAAAGAGCTAAAGAGTTCCAGTGACGTAAGGAGAGATGTATCCAGCAGTTCTGGACTTGGCCTTCAGGAGAGCTCATCTAACATGAGAACTATGGCTAGCCAGAGCTTCAACACTTCTGACTCTACCATGCTTACTCCTCCATCAAGTCCGCCACCACCACCTCCTCAGGGTGAAGAACCAGCCACTTTGCGTAGAAAGAGGCATCAAGCAGTCTGGCAGAATGAGGTTGAAGCCAGGTCACCTCCAACACCAGCATCAACACCTCCTGCTCCCCCACGCCATGAGCCAACCTCTGCTGCCAAAGAGTCAACCCAGGCCAAAAAAGACGATGTGCGGAAGTCTTTTGCAGAGAGCGTGGATGAGATTCCGTTTGCTGATGATGTAGAAGACACATATGATGACAGGACAGAGGACTTAAGCCTTCATGAGAAGTTCTTTACACCTCCTACCAGTAGGCCAAGGCCAGAGAAGCCACTTCTTTTGCCCTTGGTCAAAGAAAATGGTGGTCCACCCTCAATCGAGAGAGGGGTTAACCAAAAGAAGAGAGTGTTGCCTGAAATTTCTGCGGAGGCCAAGGAGCTTGCTGAAGAAAGAATGAGAGCCAGAGAGAAGTCTGTCAAGAGCCAAGCACTGCGTGATGCCATGGCTAAACAGTTGTGTAAGATGAAAGATATGGAGATGGCTGCAGCTGCTGCTGCTGGGGCCACAAGGGCACGAAAGGCATCTTCTATGCCCTTGAAGACCAAAGAGTTGTTTTATGACTCTCCAAAGCATCTGGCCTTGAAAATAGCAGAGGGATCCACACGAAAGCATGATGCTGCTAGTGAGAAGTTCTCCACTTCTGCTGCTGATGTGGCTGGACCTGAAGGGTCTGTCACCTCTTCAGAAGGCTCCAGTGGGAAGAGTAAGAAAAGAACTTCTCTTTTCTCCCCTCGTAAGAACAAAAAGGAGAAGAAATCCAAAAATGACAGCAGGCTTTCTGACAAATCTAGTGGTGGAACAGAGGAAGCAACAAAGCCTAGATCGTTATGGAAGTCTGTTTTCTCTGGGTATAAGAAAGACAAGAAGAAAAAGACTGATGACAAATCCTGCCCAAGTACTCCCTCAAGTAGTGCCACTGTGGATTCTGGCAAGCACAAAGCTTCTCCGTTGGTTACAGCTGCAGGTATAATAGATATGTGCCTCTGCACTGTGCGCTTTTCCTACAGCTAGGTTTCTTTGAAAGTAAGTTTGGCTTACTTTGTCATTCAGCTACTGTGCTGAATGACACTGCTTCCCAGTGTCAAATGGGCAGATCAAGATAAGTGCTAGCAACTAGAATTGTATGTTTACATATTGACAGAATTAGTTGATATGCTACTGAAAAAAATGGATCATTAAATAAAAGCTTCACTCTCGATATGTAAAAGGCACATCTATTTTCGGCCTTAGACTGATTTGAGAAATAAGCACTGTTTGTTGGAATCAGTTGTTTGTGACATTTCATCTCTGTTTTAAGCCTGATCCTCATCTTTTCCTTGGGTGGTCTGTTCTCTTTCAACCTGGCTCCATGAATGTTGAAGACTGCAGAGATGCAGTTACTCCTGTAACTCACTGCAGTGATCTGGCAACTGTCTGCTGATCTATGAAGTGGGGATTCTGCGTCCTCATGTAAATCTCTCACATGCCATCAGGTGCGGGCAGAGATATTTAATGGCAACTTGTGATACAGTAAGTAAGTTAGCCATAAATGTGATGAAAAGCGAACATGTTGCATTTCTCTGGCCTTGTACAAATGGCCAAAATAGTGCCAGCTGCTGTCATCCAAGTGCTGTATCTGTCATAGGAGCATTGATACAGTACAAAGGGAGAATCATGACCATTATTTTTAACAGCGCTTGCACAAAGTGATGCTCTCTTAGAATGAAGTTTCTAACTAATATTGATCATTTTGCAGAGCAGTGCTTCTTTGATCACTCTGTAATCCCAGGCGAAGCAACTGAGACTGGCATAAAAGGACTGAATATTTTTGAAGCTCAATCAAACAACTTAGCAACTGAGTTCTGAAATGTTTACAGAAAGATTAGTTACCACTTCTCTAACTTGCCCTTTTTATTCCTGGTTTCTCAGATTTGCAGCTCCGTCAACACCTGAGTTTCTCAGAGGACTCCGACCTCTCCAGTGACGATATTCTGGAACGTTCCTCCCAGAAATCCAAGCGAGAGGTAGGCAGATGGGAAATGCATTTTAGATGGATGTGCAGGTCATTGTGCAGGCCATTGTGCGGGTCACAGGCTCAGAGAACCACATCAGAAACTTGGATGGTTAATTTTGTTGTTCTTACTGTTTCTTCTGTGGAACAGGCTTTCCTGTAAGTTGGCTGACTGTTCTGTCTAAAATTTTAAAGTTGGTTTCACTTGGTTTCACAATTGCAAGCTGCTTCCCACTGTTGTTATATGAAGGATCTGTTGTCTCACTATGATGTTACTTTACCACGAATAGTGAATTTTGTCCCTGTTGTGAGCATGCCAGTGATCTACAGAAAACAGACATTTAATGTCAGAAAAGTAAATTTCACTGGCTCTAATGTTATTGCAAAAAGATAACAATGAGTTAGTTCTCACTTTTTGTAAGGGTCCAATTTTAGGATATTGTTTTACCAGCCTCTTTGCTAGATTGAAGTGGTAGAATTCCAAGCAAACAACAGACAGGAATGTACTTTTGCATACATCAAGAACATAGTCAAGACAGATCATCAAGAGGTAAGCTACAGGCCGCAGTTTTGCAACTCATGCAGGCTTGCTTATTTTTGCTGGGAGAAGAGAATGTGTACAGTCTGAATTAGTACCTTCTCTGTTTGGAGAAAAGATGAGCCATCAGCTGTTTCTTCCATTTTGACCCTGTTTTCTTTGAGGACTTAGAATCATAGAATCATTTAGGTTGGAAAAGACCTTTAAGATCGTTGAGTCTGTTGCTGAGTATGTCCATAAGTCTGTGTGTATAGGTAACAACTGTGAAGCTGAAATAGATAGTAGTGAGCACCTATGAAACGCCAGTGTATAAGGGTTGGTCTTAGCCTGGTTCTCGTTCCAGCGTGGCCTGGTATGAACTCTGCTTCTTCTGAGAGCGCTGTTTCTTGTTCCTGACCAACCTTCCCTAGCTAGTGCTATAATGTCATATTGTAAGACATATCAATGGCTTTCTAGCCAAAATAGTTTCACTTTAAATGGTGCTTTAAGGAAGTTACTGAGGAGGAAAGAGAAGACATCAGTGGGTCTCCATAAAAGCCCAGAGAGGAAAACACATTTAATTTATTTGCACATGTTTATGTGTGGAAAATATATGGTGAGAGCCAAGTGTCAAAGTTAGTTGCTTTTAAATGATTTATTTCAATTTTAGGATGGCACTATTAATGCAAAAATAAGTGAAAAATGTAAGGAACTACTCAATCATAGTAATGGGGAAGAGCCTTTCTTTCATTCCTGAGAGCTTCTGAGCTCTGCTAGACAGTTTGCAAGGTTTGGAGGAATAAGTAGAGATTTCATTGACCCCACAGAACGCTAAGGCCCTTCTGGTACTGAAGAATGAAAAATGTGTTCCCCCTGTCCCTTCCTGACGGTGCCTGGTTCACATGTTAAAAAAAACTTGGGAAGAAGAGAGCACCTGAGAGGGCAGTGTCACAGGCACAGTGGTCTGTGCCTCCTGTCTCAAACCTGTCATCCAGTGTGCACAAATCAGGCTCAAATGGCAGGATCTGGTTGATACTTGGCTCAGATGGCAAAGGTATGGAAGTACTGCAAATTGAAGTGTCATAGGAAATGCTTTCTTATGTATGTATATATAGTGGAATGAATTAGGATCACTGATGAATTTAAGGCTGGTGGAAGGAGTTGATGAAGTAAGTAGAAATTTTCTGTATTTGCTTACCTGTCTTTAATCTCTCTCCCTAGTTGATCTAGCTCTCTTCTAAGAGGAAGATTATCTTGGTTTTATTTTATTCCATTTTTTCTCTTCCCCTTCCATTCCTCCTTGCATGCCCTCAAGGTGTTTCATGAGAAATTCTGCATTTTCCAAGAGATGCAGAAGAATGAGGTACCTGTGGCTAGCAGAGGTCAGATATGCAATACAGGGGGTTCAGATAAGAGTTACAGAGTTATTGTTCTGCCTTCTAAGCTCCTTCAGGAGGAAGCAGGGCTTTAGTAAGGTCCATGCTTGTTTTCAGACTTTGATGGTCACTTATTTTTCTGTGCTGAGCTACTTTGATTTAAAATGGCTTTTGCAGGAAAAAAAGATCTCATCAATAAGCATTGGAGGGGATAGGTGACAGTGGCAGATGCCTGGAATCCTAATACTGAAAATATCTCACCAGCTCTGCCAAGGGTATGGTGGTAGTGTCTCATTTTCTCCCATTTGCTGTTGCTGAAGTTACGTTAAGAATTGTTTTGCTCAGCATCTGCCTGTTTTCTAAAGAATAGTTTTGAGAATGAATATATTTAGAGGAAACGAATCTGAGAACTCCACTTACCTAGTTTTATTGCATCCTGTCCAAGGATGTAGAATGTACATGCAAACACTGGAATGCCTTGCTGTCAAAAGAAATGTAACTGAACTTCAAGACTGACAAAACTGGGTTTCTACTGTTTTGGGCTGGGGGTTGTATTTTTTAAGTTACAAACTGCCTGCTACTTATGGGTAAGAGTTGTCTTCCTGTGTGCCACGTAACTTTTATATGAACCCCTTCTCTCAACTGAAATTCTGCTTGTGCTGCTTTTCTGATAATTGTAGTGAGCTTGCTTCCCAGCCAGCTTGCTCTGTTTAGCCTGCTCTTTGTGATCAGCAGTGAATTCATTCAGTGTTGTTTAATGTAGTGTCTTTCAAGAGAAGCATCTTGTAAAGAATTCCTAATGTAAATGCCCCGTGGGTCTCGTGTTTATAGGTGTGTATCACTGTGTGTGTGTTTGTCGTTGTTCCTGTACAATTGTGGTATTGTGATCAGACGTGTGTTTTACTGCCACAGGTAGCTTGCTTTTTACTGAAGTTTGCGTACATGCTGAAGTTGTTCTATGGCTTCTCATTTGTGATTGTTTTTAGTTAACTGAATGTGAAAATGCAAAATGCTGGCTGTTCACCCAGAATGGCACAATGCCCTCTGTACTTTATGACCCAAGGGAAATTTCTCTCTCTTATAAACCCTATGTAGTTTACTTGCCTTATTTTCAGGTACAGGGCAATGTGGAATGTCCTTGGATAGAGAAGGCAGTGATTTCTCCTCCCTTTCTCCTCCCTTTCTCCTCCCTTTCTCCTCCCTTTCTCCTCCCTTTCTCCTCCCTTTCTCCTCCCTTTCTCCTCCCTTTCTCCTCCTTATCTCCTCCCTTTCTCCTCCCTTTCTCCTCCCTTTCTCCTCCCTTTCTCCTCCCTTTCTCCTCCCTTTCTCCTCCCTTTCTCCTCCCTTTCTCCTCCCTTTCTCCTCCCTTTCTCCTCCCTTTCTCCTCCCTTTCTCCTCCCTTTCTCCTCCCTTTCTCCTCCCTTTCTCCTCCCTTTCTCCTCCCTTTCTCCTCCCTTTCTCCTCCCTTTCTCCTCCCTTTCTCCTCCTTCTCATAATTTTAGTTCCTCAGGCTCTCTGGAGGTTCTCTTTTTAGACAGGGAGATTCTATTACTGTAGGACACATAACCCGCTCTGAGCCCATCTGTTTTTTCTCCTGTCACAAAGCAGTGAGAAAGATTTATGATATTAGTTAAATGCAAATGATCATTTCTATGAAGTAGAGGTAATTTAAAACCATGAAATAAACACAACTCCTAGGAGAAGCTGTAAATCAAATTATAAATGGGGAGTTGTGTGACAGAGTAATATATGGTTGGCTGAGCCGGTTCAGACCAAACGTGCCCCAGCATAAGCCATTATTGCAAATCTAAGCCAAGATTTCATATGTGTATGTACGCGTACTTGTTCAGTGGACATTAAAACTATAGGTAGAAAGAGGCCAAATAATTCCTCTAGAAAAAGGTATTTCCAAGTTGACTGTATCTTCAAAGAGGCTGCCAAAGCTAATTGCCTTCAGGAGAGTGCTAGAAACTTGATTTTGTGGACAGAAGTTCCGTTGTGCTTCATCAGTCTGGGTCACGTTCAGCATTTGCACAATTTTATGCTTCATTTAAAAACAGCTTTGTTTTATTACTGTGCATCTGTTTTCAATGTTGAACTGATTTTGCTTCATTTTGTACATTTTTTTTATTTTTTTTTTTCCTTTACCATTCCCCCTTTAAAGTCGATTTATGTACCACACGCCTTGGCTTTCAAGAGGTCATATTCGTCAAAGGTAGTGTCTCCATTCCCACTAGTTGGCCATTGTTGCATTGCATGTCCCTATATTAACCCATTGAATCTGTAGCTACCCATCACACGTGCACTAACATCACAAACGTTGACTGTGCATGCGTGAGATGTTAGCAGACATGAGCAGCAAATTCTTTGTAGAGGTTGTCTACCAAAAATGCATTAAGCTCTGAATTGTCTGTCTGGTTAGAATGCATGCAATTATCAGTGCACAGCAGTGCACCACTGTACAGAGTGATGTGGATGATCTTTGAGCTTCAGAACAAATAGGTTTTCAAGGCAATTAAATATGTATGCATATTCTTTTTTTAATACTTAGAGTATCAGTTCAAGTGAATCGTCACGCTTTAATCAGCATCCTTCAAAATGGTTGAGTTCACTGAAATCTTAGTGAAACCCTGTATCAAGCTAAAATCAAGACAGAAATTGCATTTCTATTTCAGGAATGTTGCTGCTTTCTGAAATTCTTATTGTTCTGTCTTCACAGTCACAACAGTGTTACATGGGATAGGAGAGTCACACCCTCTATCACTTTATCTTCTGATTTGGGTATCATTGTGGATTTTGTGTTTTAAAAAAAGAAAGAAAAAGTAAAGTGTTAACTTCTTGGAGCTTTAACGATGGTGCTTGCTAACCACCTGAGGGATTTTTAACAGAGCTGTGGTCCTAACTTAAACTGCATTCACTGAGAACAATAAACCAGAGGTAGACTGACCAATGTGGCAGTACAATAACTAGATAAAGGAAATTTCAGGGTGGTCTGTCTTAACATTTTGTCCTTAAAGTTGACTGTCCATGGAGAAGATCTCTTTCCAGAAGTGGAAGACATGTGTTTACAGCTGTCCCTTAAAGCTGACATACATGTATTTGGGAAGAGAGTTCTTTTCTTCCCTGTAGGACATTTAATGCAATTGTGAAGTTTCTTTGACACTCTTAAAAGTCTATGAAAGGAAGCCCTCCTAGACTACAACACAACCAACTAGTATACCTGATGAGACACTAAACCCTATTTCAGTAATGTTAAAAAGTCTTACTTATTTTTAAACTAGTTTCACTGAGAGAAAAGAAGAGGAGGAAATACCTTTCTTTTTCTATAAATATGGCCTTTCTCCTTTTGGATGGCTTCTGGCGTTGCAATATCCTAGTTTTAGTTTAGGGGTTGTTTTCTCTGTTTTACACCAGCCAGTTCTGTGGGGTTGCTCTTGAGATGGGATTTCCCATCTCACACCAGAATGTTGTTCTGCTTTCAAACGTCTTTTTGCCTTCTTGATTCATAGAAGAGTTGCACAAATTTACACAGGTAGTCATTACCAGTTATACCAGTATAACTCCCAGCTATGGATGTTCTTGCTCCAGAATAAAATAGGGAGAGGGGAATACCAATACAACTACACTAGTCTATAATAATTTCTTAGCTTATACTGTAACTGTTCATGTAGACATGCCTTTACCCTCTTTTAAAATGAAATCAAGGTGACCCCTCTATATGGTACTCATTGATTTAACTAAATCTATTTGGATAAATCTATTGATAAATAGAATAAAAATTTATTTGATCTTTGGCGAGAGGTTTCATGTAGCAGTGGAAGATGGGGTGGGACATTAATTAAAATCACAGTTTTGCAGTTGGCTGATATGCTTCTTCACTCCTGATTTGACCCTGAAATTGTTGCTCACTGCACTGTGAACACCTTTGCCTACAGAAGCTTGACTTTTCACACAGCCATGGCAAAGACAGAACACCTCCCTTTTGAGATTTTTGGAAGAGAAAATGGTCATCCCTCCCCCAATACCTCTGAGCATGCAAATAAAATCTGCCCCTGTTTTTCCTTCCTTCAGAGAGCCTACACAGAAGAGGAACTGAATGCCAAGCTGACCCGGCGAGTACAGAAAGCTGCCCGTAGACAAGCCAAGCAAGAGGAGCTAAAGAGGTTACACAGAGCTCAGGTAGTGTCTCACAATCTTCTTGTCATGGCAGACAGTTAACGAAAGCACCATGATCCTGACATTCCTCTGAGTGTGTCGGAAATAGATCCAGAGATGGAACTTACTTCTATTTCTACATGATTGTCCCTGCTCCTACTCCCTCTTCCAAATTTGATATCATGTCACAGACATGGGAAGAATGGCTGAAACCTATCATGATAGTTTTGCAGTGAGAAAAATAATGACCGTAACACCTTTCCAGCTGGAGATGAGTGAAGCATCGTGCACTGAACAGAACAGTGATAGTCAGATACCTGATGAAGCTGCACCTATCATTGCTTTGCTAGATTATGCTGCTGGGTGAATTGTTACCAAATTAACCTTTAATTACCAGAGAATCTGTTGGAAAACTGCTAGCATCACCTACAGGTGATGGGATTTGTTTAAAACTCGAGGTAGGGGCTCAGCTGACTGAATAGCTTCACCTTTCACTTTGGGGTTTAGGAAGGTGATTGGAGTTGTAGCAAATAAGTGAGTATCAAGGTGTTTGCAAAATTAAGGGATAGGATGGAAGAGGGTGGGGTGGATGTTGTCACTGGAGGGACTGTGATGCTAGCTTTTGAAGCAGTTAGCTTTTGAAGCAGTGTGTTGTTGAATACAAATACTTGTTTTCAAAAAGGCTGATTTGACTGAAGTCACTTAGTGCTGAATGAGTGCTGCAGACAGAGCAGGAGAATTGCTGTTGCTGAGATTCTGCTCCATTCTTCTCTGAACAGATCATCCAGCGGCAGCTTGAACAAGTGGAAGAGAAGCAGAGGCAACTCGAGGAGAGAGGGGTTGCTGTAGAGAAGGCCCTTCGGGGAGAAGCAGGTATCCATCAGAACTCGGTTTGGTTTTTAATGTTTTCTTATCAAGTGCTTGTGCGGTAGTCCATAGCTGCTTGGATTTTAGAGGCAATTGGACCATTATAGCCTAGAGATAGTCCAATATGAATCCATTCTCCCTTTTCTACTATCTTTTTGAGGCCTTGTTTTTCCTGTGTTTCTTCTCATTCTGGGACTTCCCTATCGGCAGAGACTTAGTTCGCTTGTCTTTGCCTGAGGCTTAGGAGGTGATTCTCCAATTATTAATAATGGCTGTCTGACTGGTTCTGCATATTACTGGACATTACGGCTAAAAAATTGCAGGGGTTTCCTACAATTCACATAAAGCTGTCACAGTAAAAAAACCCTGTTTGTGTGTTAAGGAAGTAATTGTGAAATTGTGTGTGCTTTCTCTATTGTGTTGGATTATCAAGGTAGTGTCCTTACAAGGGACCATCACAGAACATCTTCCTCACTGCACAGCCCAGCACACTGGCTACTTCCAACAAAGTTGTGCAGAGCAGAAATGCACACGTGTACTGAAAGGTATCCATGTCAAGCTGTTAAAGGAATGTTATGTGTACTTGAAATTAAATTAAATGAGTATCATCTGATCTGGCAAGCATATGAGTGGAGGAGTACTTGGTTCAGATAATGCTGATAGTAGTATAATGATTTGGAAAAAAGAATCCTCAATTGCAAGGAGTCAAATATCCAACAGGCAAATGCAGTGTGCGTATACCTGACAGGCCCAGGATTATGTACCTGATTACAAGGGTCAGAGATCAGAAATGGTAATGGTGGAACAGGTGTTTGGAAACTGTTTTGGCTTGTTGCTTGGATTGAAGAGCCACCGCTGTGCCTGTGAAGATGGAACTTGATTAAGCAGTGAAGGTTCACCAGAGGAAAAGTCTGTTGTGACTTCCCGCCAATTACTACTTGGCCAGGATTAGGTATGTTTGATGCTCCATAAGGGTGCCAAAGCAGCAGGACTGAGTGGTTACCAAAGCAAGCAAATAGATACTACAAGTGTGGAGAACAATCTTGAGGACTTCAATGGTTTTGTGATCTGACTGGCTTTTTCGTTTGTGGGTTCAAAAAATTAGCCTTGTGCAAAAACTCTTTCTTTGCGGTGGTGCCTCCTTCCTTATGCTGTATATTTCTGTGTCCGCTACTGTTCTCTGGCCTGCCAGTTTCTGCAATTACTAAAACCACCTCTCTTATCTCTAATTGTTCTTTTCCTTTTTCTTCTTTTCATCTGGAAGTCTGTCTTGATTACTCAGCTGCTAAATGACTTTCACGTAAGACATGTCAGGACAAGTGGGAAATCTTAGCAGCTGAGAGAACTTTCTTCATGATAGAATGCTCTCACTGAAGAATGATAGAAGAATGCCTAAAAAACGTTCAGAGAGGGCAGAATATGACCAAGAATTGCTATTTTATGTGGAAGACTGCAGAATTAAACCCTTGTATAACTAACTTCTCAGTCCCAGCTCTCCCAAAATGGAAGCAGTCTTAGATGAGCTTGTGTGTTTGTGAATTTCCTAGCAGAATTATGAAATTGTAGGTCACTCTTTGCAAAATGAATCTCTCTTCTTCAGGAAGTCTCTAGGGTATGCTTTGCTCTTGCAACATGTTTCTATCAACAGATCATACATTATGGTTACGGAAGCTTAACAGTGTCATAAAGAATTCCCCAGCCTCAACTATTCCAGTTATTTCAGGGGTTAGCAAGAAATGTATTCTGTTGGAGGGGGAAAAAAAAAAATCATGTTCTAACCTGTGTTGACCGAAACACAAGATTATAAATTAATTCCATGCTTCACCTCTCTAGCCACTCTTGCATGGACATTTTACATATGTTTGCAGTAAAATAACTGAATTCCTTCTTTTTAAAGTCTGCGGCATCATATTCCGTAAGTACAATTAATTTCTGCCTCCAATAACCATTAATTATTCAGGAGGGCAGTATAATTTTCTTGTCATCTGCATTGCCTAAAATACCGACCTAACAGTGACCCCTGCATTCAGCCAGTACCAGTGTGTAAAGGTGAGGAGTCATGCGCTTGTCTCTGATCGGTCCCTCCCCTAATGAAACCATGTAAACAAAAGTTAAAAAAGGGAAGGGCGGTGTATAAAGTGGTGGTGTCATCTGAAGAAAAAAATCTCTTTCTTTTTAATAAGCTTGTACAAGGGGAAGAAATGGGGGAGGGTGGGAGGTATGCCTCAAGTAATGGCTGTCCAATAGACAGCAACCAGTATTAACTGTTCTAGGAGAACATATTAGGCTCTGTAATGAGTGGGTTATTCAGCTTTCCTCTCTGTAGAGAAAGAACAAATCACTCACTGATTTAGACATTTAAATATGAAGTTTTAGATAGTATTAGTAGTAGTTTCCTCCTACTACATACTTGAAAATCCTGACAGAAGAAACAGAATTCTCTATTTTGTACTGATTCTTTTCTTTTTCTATTGTAGAAAAAGATAGATAAGACCATCTGAACTACTTCTCTCTGTCATTTATGATCTTTTAGCATGTTGCCTGTTAGTCATCTTTTCTGTCTGTAGAGAATTTCAAATTTTGCTTTTGTAGAGATCTTCCATAACTTTAATTCCTCAGATCTCTGGCCTCTGGACCTCTTTCCATTTTTAGAAAAAAGTATTTTTCAATTGGACTGGTAAGAACAAAACCCAGTACTATAGGTAAGAATTTGCTTACTTAGAATAATTTTCCTTCTATTTTCCATCCATTTTGCATCATCCTTAATATGTTCTTGCCAAGTGACTTGTACTGAGAAGACTGTCAATAAATTCCTCACAGTGATGCTCTGCTGTCTTCCTGAGAGAGTACAGTTAATTTAGATCCTAGCAATAGGTACAGACAGCTCAATACTCTCTTCAGGAATTTCACTCATTATCTGATAGTTGTCAAGTTGGAATATTTATATGCTGATACTAGCTATTGAGCTAATCAGACTCAGAAACATTTTTGAGGTCATTGTCAACTTTAATTTTGACGAAATAATTGCACCTTCTTAGCTAGCTCTTTGTCTTTTTCTTTTTTAAATAGGCTCAGCCTCAGGCAAGGTGCAGTTTATTCTTTTAAAAGCTGAATGCTCAATCTAACATTTAGTTTCTGATTCAGAAAATGATCTCACACCTTGTGATTACTTAATTGCCTTAATATGTTCTCTGTGATTATCTTTGAAAATCTCAGCCTTTGAAAGTCACATTCATAGCAAGAATGAATGATTTGGAATGTAATCTCTATTTCAAGTGACAATGTAAGCTCTATTTCAGGTGGCAAGTTTGTCATATACAGGTGGTCTAAGCTTTTGTCATCCCTTTTTTTTTCCTTCCCACCTCCCCCTCGTTTCTTTTGCATCATGGTATTTCACTGTGTCGTGGTTTAACCCCAGCTGGCAACTCAGCACCACGCAACTGCTCGCTCACTCCGTCCCAGTGGGATGAGGGGAGAATCAGAAGGGTAAAAATGAGAAAACTCATGGGCTGAGATAAAGACAGTTTAATAGGTAAAGCAAAAGCCGTGCACGCAAGCAAAGCAAAACAAGGAATTCATTCACTACTTCCCATCGGCAGGCAGGTGTGCAGCCATCCCCAGGAAAGCAGGGCTCCATCACAGGTCACGGTTACGGGAAAACAAAGCACAACATCACTCCGAATGTCCCCCCGTC